CCTAAAGGTATCCTCGTTTCCTTGCACTTTTGAGTCTGAAAATATTTGTTCTATAAATTTTAATACTTTAGAATACTCTAAGAAAATACGCAGATTATTTGAAGCTAACGAAAAATTTGTCAAAATTTTGAGTACAGTAACGTTCTATAACTCATATCGCCGATCCTATTTAATGTGATAAAAAAAATTTGTTGTTGTATTAGAAAATAGAAATAAATAGTGGTGTGAACATGCATCACATTTTTTAACTTGTTTTGTTATTATTGTTTTCAATCCAAAAATGTTTAGGAGAGATTGGCTACTTTCATCACTAACGTCAAGGTATATCTATAACCTCAAATCCAAAGAACTTACTTGTAGCATATAATTACCCACTGTCAACTATGACTATTATGAATTTACATAAAAATTTACATATTGCATACCAATGAGAACGGCTGATTGTACGTAGGTCATTTTCTTTGTTAATAAAATTGGGAGACAAGATTTTAATTGACCAGATGACTTGTCAAAAGTTTTCAACTAACACTTGTCCTTGATTAGAATTTCACACCGACTTGTCCGAAAAAATAATGTTAAGCAAATTGCAAGAAAACCCAAAGGAACAAAACACTTCCCAAACGCGCACTGACAAGAACGATTAATAAAGTTGGGACACAAGATTTTAATTGACCGGTTGACTTCCCAAGCGTATTTATACTAATACGTGCCCTTGACCAGAATATCATTACGATTTGTCCCCGAAATATAATATTAAGAAATCGTAAGAAAACCCAAAAACAGGGAAAGAGATCATCCAGACATTTGAAATTTAATCTAATAACTTTAAACATAAGCTCACTTTAAAAGTTAAGCATATGGGCACATACAAAGTGTGCGAGGAAATTTTTTATTTTTGGTTTTAAAATAGAAGAAGAGAGGAAGAGAGTGATAGAGAATGTGAGAGTGGAATTTTTTTTTTTAATTAGAGATATATTAGGATTACATGTAGGTGATGTTTTGAAAAAAAAAACAGCAAAATTTGATTGCATGAAATTACATTTCTGCCTCTTATTTCTTATTCATATTTTGTTTTAATTAGAGGTTAAACTGATAATTTTATAAGATTTTGATTGAAAATAAATGTTTTATTAATTAGTAGAGATAATAACTGTAGTCGTTGAATCAAATTTCAAAAACCCAAATTTATGATTTTAGTAGACTTGGTAGATGGAATCCGAGGACTTTCCAAAGAAAGAAACACCTGAATCAAAACAGAAAATAAACAATTTCAAATTTAAAGAAAAGGACATGGGAGAAAGAAATTTACAAGAAACTCCAACATTGGACCCCTGATTAACACGCAAATTATCGGCTATTGTGTCAGCTCATCATTCATACGTACCACGCGGTCGTCGCCAAACTCGGCGTCGTATTGTACGGTCGAGTGAAAGCAGCAGCTGAATCTGATTGCCCGCCGCCAACCGCCAGTAACTTGCTGGGCCGCCGATTTTATGCGGTCATGGGGTGCTGCATCTGCTCCGGTTTCTGGGCCTGCTTGGATAAGCTGAAAGCCGGCGGACGGTCCGCCGCAGCTGGAGCCGACGACGCCGAGGACGGAATCGAGTCCTTCGATCTCTTCTTCGACCTCCACGCGCTGCAAATCGCCACCAGCTTCTTCTCCGACCTCAATAAACTTGGGCACGGAGGCTTTGGCCCCGTTTACAAGGTACGTACGGACTCGTAAATAGCTAGCTTGATCAGGGCCAATCTCGGAAGTATAAATAATCACGCAATTGGCCCTTTTGTTCGCCGGAATTACTGTCTAATTGGGGGTCTTGTGATTGATCCCGGAAAACTTAGGTGCCGGTGGTTCAATGGATTATTTGTACTTTTGGGTGTTGTCGTGGCAGCATTAGAACCGCTGGTCTAATTGACTACGTGGCACTAATCGTTGACTTACCATTGAGCTCGCACTGTATCGGAAAGGATGATATTTTTTCTTTTCCCTTCAATTCAGTTTGTATTCATTAACTTTGGGAGGAACATTACCGTCTGTTCTTCAGATAGTAAATTGGTAAACATATGAATGTGTTTTTTTAACAAACGATAGTCTATACTATTCAATTGGGGATTTGAGAGATTTTAATGAAAATTTTTTGGAGGGGTATTCAATTGGGAATTTGAGAGATTTTAATAGATTATAAATCCATGAATTTTTATGGAGTTTATCTGATTTCTAAAGATTTCATGTAAAATTTTGATTCAATTCCTTCGAAATCTAATGAGGTGACGTAAGATTTGTAGATATTCAAAATACGCTACAAAATCTCTCAAATTCCCTCTAATTCCTCAACTTTTTCAAATTCTTTAAATTTAAATTCTAATTGAATACATTTGAAATGTTATAAACTTCTTTAAAATACTAATTGAATATACATGGATTTCTAAGGATTTTAATAAACTATCTTAAAATCCTAATTGAATACACAATGAATTTCAGAGAATCACTTAAAATCCTGATTGAATACCTCTAGATTCATTAAAAGAATTAAAATCCCTCAAATCTCAATTGAATACACCACTTTGATTCAATTCCCTCAAAATCTCTCCTGGGAAGATGTGAGATTTGTGGATGCTTAAAATACACTACAAAATCTCTCCAATTTCCTCTAATTTCTCAACTTTTTCAAATTCTTTAAAATCAAATTCTAATTGAATACACTTGCAATGTTATAAAATTCTTTAAAATCCTAATTGAATACATCCAGATTTTTAAGGATTTTAATATACTATTTTAAAATTCTTATTGAATACACATTGAATTTTAGAGAATAACTTAAATTCTTGATTGAATACCACTAAATTCATTAAAAGAATTAAAATCCCTTAAAATCTTAATTGAATACACCCCTAAATTAATCTGTACTATGAACAAGGAATTCAAACTTTCGTGCAAAGGTGAATGAGAGTTGAGCAGGAAAGTTTTGAGCATTTTTCTTTTTTGGTAGCTAAAGATGTTAGCTTTTTAATAAGACGATATGTATTCTAAACTACTCTAGGATAATTTACACTGAGCCTTATTTAACTGGTCTAACCCACACGTAGTTTAGATGTAACTGGAGATTTAATGCAGACGCGAGCGTATTAACATTGGCTAGATCCTAGAGTGGATGTGCTCCCCTATGTGTGTAGTTCGAATCACCTCCTGTATTTTATATTAGATTAAAGTAGAATATCGTCCCAAAAAAAGTTGTGATCTTTAACTGACCACTTATTTGTATTTTCTTCGGTTTATTGAATATTTACCCGACTTGTGTGCACCATGCAGGGTTTGATGCCAAATGGTCAAGAAATAGCTGTAAAGAAGCTGTCTGTAGATTCAAGGCAGGGAGCTAGAGAATTCACCAACGAGGTGAAACTGTTACTGAGAGTTCAGCACAAGAATTTGGTCATGTTATTGGGGTGTTGTGTAGAAGGGCCTGAGAAGATGCTGGTTTACGAGTATCTCCCAAACAAAAGCCTCGATTACATTCTTTTCGGTATGTTCGTCTTTACCGTTTCTGAGTTTTCATATGTTCATTGTTCAGCATCAGATTGAATTGAAAGGTTCATTTGGTTAATTATTTGAAAATTTCAGATAAACAGAAATCTGGAAGCTTGGATTGGACGACAAGGTTTCGGGTGATTATGGGAGTGGCAAGAGGTCTTCTTTACCTTCATGAAGAGGCCCCGGAAAGGATCATTCATAGGGACATCAAAGCTAGTAATATATTACTAGATGAGAAGCTGAATCCGAAAATCTCGGATTTTGGCTTGGCAAGACTCTTTCCTGGGGAGGACACTCATCTCAATACATTTCGGATTTCTGGTACTCAGTGAGTAGTCTCTTTTCATCACTTCTTTCTGCGTTTGTGCTGTACAAATTTTTTACCATTTCATCCTATTCGTCGAGGAGCAATGAAAAACGAAATTGAGTGAATTCTTTTGTTAAATACAGTGGTTATATGGCCCCTGAATATGCAATGCATGGATATTTATCGGTGAAGACAGATGTTTTCAGTTACGGAGTCTTGGTGTTAGAGATTGTGAGCGGGAGAAAGAATCATGATGGGCAGCTCGAAAGAGAAAAAGCCGATCTCTTGAGCTATGTAAGTTACTTCTGTGGAATTTTTTTATGCAAATTAAGAAAAGAATAACTTAAAATATGATCCCCGATATTGTGACTAACGAGAACTGGTACCTTTATAATCCTAATTAATTAGGCGTTCCAGTTAAATTACCATCCGCAATGTTCATCAGCATATAAGCAGTGCTATTGTGGCTTCCATTGAAATGAGTAGATGAATATGTTCTCAGTCAATTCATTTATTCCTCACAATGTTCCCTTGCTCTCTTCTGCAGACATGGATGCTGCATCAAAGAGGGAAGGTATTGGACTTAGTTGACCCAACCCTAGCCAAGTGCAATCCCGACGAGGCAGCAATGTGCATTCAGCTAGGACTCTTATGCTGTCAAGCAAGCGTTGCAGAACGGCCAGACATGAACTCCATCCATCTCATGTTTTCGAGCGATTCATTTACCTTGCCGAGGCCAGGTAAACCTGGACTTCAGGGCCGTGGAGGACGTTGGACGACCACTTCTACTTCCGCTTTCACCAACAATACTAATGCCAGTAGCGGATACACAGGCGCCACCAAGGCCTCCGGCGGGAGCAGTTTTATTGAGGAATATTCTAGAAATTCGATGTCTCATTCTTCCATGGACGAAGGTAGATGATTAGTCATAACCTCCATTTGTAATTCAATTGTGTTGTGAGCTTTATGTGATGTAAAGTAATCAATGTAATCATGAATCTCAATCTAACATGATATAATTTGTTTTATTCTTTGATAATCCAAATGTCAAAATTTTACTATTTTAAGGTGAAACCTCTGTTTAAGGCTGTTTTACACCGACCACGTAAGAGAAAGAAAAAACCTCAAACCTTATACAAATCAAACAAACAGAAATCATGAGTTACAGAGAACAACATTTTCAACTAACAATTCCCAGAAGCCCTGCGCTCCCTCGGTTCATCGCCAGGGGGACCTTGAAGGCCGTCTTTGTTCAGAATCCGAAGCACAGAGGGCGGGGCTTGAAGAATTTAGCCTTCACAGCTCACCCTCTTTCCGGCTTGTAAACCATTCTGCCATGCTGTTAGCTTCACGCCAAATTAACCTCGAATTCAACTGCTGAAATCCAACTTGCAGGTACCACATTGTGTCACATTTATATATTTTCTTGTATGGTTATATGAAGACGATTTTTATCTGCAATTCAAATATTTCTTGTATTTCCTGTATAATTTTCTTGTATGTTCATTATTCATATCGCTATATGGGGTACCGCCAATGCCAAAGGAAAATTTCTTGCAGTATTTGGTATCGAAAAAAGAGAGAAGAAATGGAATTGAATTTGTTGAAATGGAAGCCAAATTGGCAACTCAGAAAATGCTGCAACCACGACCAAGTGATCTTCCTCATCTCCGTTGCTGTTTGCACTGTCGTTATCCTTGTGGTAACCTCTCTCTCTCTCTTGAACACCGATCTCTCGCTCATTGCAAATTTGATTAAATATCTAATTTTTAAACATGTAAAGGATCCTCTAATGTTTTTTGTTTCAATCTGTTTCGTCAATTCTTGTAGCTGTGGAGGACGGTACTGATGACACCATTTAAGCTTATAACCGTGTTTCTTCACGAGGTGAGCCATGCAATCGCTTGTCTGCTTACTTGTGGTAAGGTAACAAATTCTCTCACCCTTCTATCTAAATTTTTCATAATGGTCGCGTTTAGTTTGAGACGAGATGATAAGATTAATTTGCAGGTGGAAGGGATTAAAGTTAACGCAGATGAAGGTGGAGTCACACAAACCCGCGGTGGCATATCCTGGCTAATTTTGCCTGCCGGATGTAATCCTTTTCCTATCCTTGACCATATTTGTTTTTCAGTTAGTTTGCACATTGCATCTGATTTAGTTGTTACCCTTATCATCTTTCGATTTTGTGTCACGCCAGATCTTGGTTCATCGTTCTGGGGGATGGTATTGATTCTTGCGTCCACAAAACATCTCACTACACAAATCGCTGCTGGCTGTTTCGTTGTTGCTCTAATTATTGTGTTCTTTTTAGCTAAAAATGTAAGTCTTCGCAAATCCATCAATTTCTATATTTATAAGGAAGTAAAACTTTTGAACTGAAATCCTTATCCTGTTGTTTTTGTACTACTTGATATTGTACAAGTGGACACTTCGAGGACTTTGTATAGGTATGCATTTCGTATTCCACTCGAAACACCTTCCTGTTACTAATAGCACAGGATGCAACTTGACGTTTGTGATTTCGTTTATGTTTTACATTTTGAACGACCAGGATTCATTGTTTTATTTGCTGGAATTTGGTATCTGCAAGAAGCAACGCCGGTTCATATGCTTAGGGAAGTGATTCTGTTCACCGGTAATTGCAACTTGGCGATTTTGGTTCAGCTATTGCTTAAGAAAGTAGCATATACTTGAGGTTTCCCAATGCTTACTCGTTTTTGTCTAATTGCAGGTGTAATGAACAGCTTGTTTTCGGTTTATGGTAAGAAGAAACATCATTTTATCCACATTTTAACTGCTTGTAGAGTACTCATAGATGCCTCGTAACATAAACATTTATCGGTCAATGCAGATATCTACGATGATCTTATATCGCGTAGAATCAATACGAGTGATGCTGAAAGATTTGCAGATGAGTGTCCCTGCTGTACTGGATGTGGATGGGGTGTCATTTGGTGAGCCTTTATGTCTTCTCCTCCCCTCCTTTCTTTTTATCCATTTTCTGTTGTTTTCTAACTACAAAGAACCTTACGCGCAGGGCATTCATATCTTTCACATTTCTCTGCGGATCCGTGTACCTAGCTCTTGTGATTTTATCTCCGCGTGTGTGACTGTCTCGGAAACAGATAAACACAATACACCGCGGAAGATGTTACAACGTTGGATTTGGGGGGTTTCATATATTTTCTCACTCTGTCATACATTTTGTTACGAAGAACACATTGCAGTTTGGCACGACATGAACTCCGTTCATCGCATGCTTTTTAGCGATTCATTTACTTTAGCCGGATGAGGGAAACCCGGATTAAAAGACCGCGGAGGAGGACGTTGGACAACTAGTAGCTAGTATTCAGTGCTGCTCCTTAGGCTTCTGGGGAAGTAGATTTGTTGAGGATAAATCTAGGAATTCGTTGTCTCATATTCTTCCATTGATGAAGGTACATTACCTTCATTTTATGTCACATAAAAGCACTTTTTGTAATTGTAAATCTTATGCTAATATAATATAACATGTTTTATTCCTTCTACCACGAGAGAGGATCCTCGCCGGATCCTCTTTGTGAGGATCTCGATATCCTTCAATCACATTCGTTCATCGTACATGATTTCTCACCGTATGATATATGATGAACGGATGTAATTCCACTCTTTTCATTTGAAGTTCCAAGTTCGATTCTCACTCCTGTCACTTGAGTTTCCAAGTTTGATTCTCCCTCTTTCCAAGTAGCACTTGTAAAAAATGAAAAATATGCTTCTGAAATGCGGGTTAGGCTAGTTGACTATAGTTGAAATTCGAAACGAAACAACTGACGTTAAACACCATGGATGAAATTTGAAACATCGAAACACTTGCTGATTATAAATCCTTCGATTAAGAAAACAGAAAAAAAAAATCCGACATTAAACCATATCAAATCAACAAAAATACGCGCTAATAATGTAGAGAACAAAATCCTTCGAAGGCTATCCTAAAACCATATGTCCTCGACATCAAAATTTTAAATCGTCTGCCTGCTCAACTGCAGTTCTTCAGGTAAACCAGATATTTCTATGCTTCGGTGATTGGGTACTCGAACACAACATCCTTTCCTGAAAGCTTCCGGTAAACAGCAGAGAAGCTCTCCAGCTTGTACTCGGTGTTGTTTCGTTCCTTGGGGTCCAAGAACACCTGCACGACATCATGAGGATAAAAGAGAAGTAAATTATCCGGTTTTTATAAGACAGAAATTGTAGAAATCAAACGAAGAAATATATGCAAGTTTGTTAGAAATCTGTTCTTTCCTGCTGAACATACTATTTCATCAAAGTTTTGAATGTTTACCTTCATTATCTTGGATCCATCCAGACGGTATCTGATGCGCTTTCCAATAATCTCAGCAGGCAACACAACATCTTCCAACATTGCTTCATGCACAGCAGTTAGTGTACGAGTGCGGGGACATTGAGCAGCTGACCCTTTCTTAGGAGGCCTCACAATCCTACGTGTGGCAATCAGGATCACATCCTACAACATGACAAACAAGAAGGCCAGCATAAACTTCACCGAACACAAAAGAAACATTGCACATAAATGCACAGAAGAGGGTGTCACTTTCTATCAACAAACAAATAAAGAACACAACGTATTAATCACCTTCCCGCTGAACTTCTTCTCAAGCTCCCTCACGAGGCGAACATGGATCTTGCGATAAGCCTTCCTAAGCCTATAGGGCACATGGATAACCACGGCCTTCTTGCTTCCAGACACATCAACTTGACTGCAGCAGAAAGAATGTAACTCAACCAACGGAAAACTGTTTATAAGACATACGAATTCAATAAACAACGCTTACATTGCTGAGTTGATATAGAGATCCTTCAGGTCACTCTTCAGCTCCTGATTTGTGTTTTCCAAATCAAATACTGCCTGCAGAGATAAGTCATGATCAAAACCCGAAACTTCAACAACAAAGTAACTAAAAAGCACAGTAAACAGCAATATAGCTTACTTGAGCAACCGACTCTTCGAATTCAGTCGGCTCAGCATTGTTATCCTTGGAAATCTTCTTCCTTGAAGTATACATCTTGGCTAAATCTGACTATATAACATAGGCATTAACCACAATCAAAATTTTCAGCATGCAGAGACATGAAAAAAGGGGTAAGTTTCGGATTTTCGGCAAATCAGACAAATGATAAACAAACAGATAATAAAGGGTGGGATCATATTCTGGAACAAAACTCAAAACCCACATTACAATTTTGCAAAAATTGATGCTTGGATAATAAATAAACATCTTCAAACCCTTTCAAATTCATGTGAAATATAAACCATATAAGAAATCTAAGATGCATAGACTCGCTACAGCTAAAAGTCTCAAACTTTCTCACAAAAAGCAATCAGTCGAGCAGTGAATCGAAGGTACGAAAACGAATTGAGAAAGATGAAACGGGTATTTGGGGATTTAGGGTTTTGGGGTTTACCTCGAGGAGAATCGAGAGCCGGAGCGACTTCTGCTTTTGAGTGGCAGAAAACCCAAGAGCTCTGGCTTCGGCGGGTATGGAGAAACCCTAAGGATGGCTAATAAAAAGGCTTTAAGGAGATAGAACGGACGGTTAGATGATGAATCTTTTAAATGAACGGTTATGATAGCCCTGGGAGTATCAAGTAGTAAAAGATTGGGCTTAATGCCCAAAAACCAAATTTGCAAGCTTAACCCAACGGGCTTTTAGAAAAGGCCCTTGGAACTGTCATTTTGTTTTGAGAAGAAATTTTTTATTATGACGGGAACACGAGTGGTACATCACGTGTTTTTATATATGTGGTGAGAAATTTTATTTTTTAATTTATTATATTTTTAACACACATATCCCATCATTTGTATAGTGACACATGGTGTGCTACTTCGTGTGCCGGTCACACTGAAAAATCTCTCTATTTTGAGACCCTAAACTTTAAATGTTTCCAATTTTCCCCCAACAGTTGATGTCTGCACAATTTTCGTTCATTATGTTCGTATATGATCAAGTTTTAGGGGAATATACGTAAACAAAATGCTAAATTCACGAGAAAGATTATTAGGGGATGAAGAACAAATATCCGAGTTTGTTGAATACGAAAGGGACAGAAGGAAGACAAAATGACGTAGTGGAAATTTACAAATTTAACATTTGAGTTCCGTTAGGAGGCCATGATACTTTTTCGAAAAGAGCATGATGTTCTAATTTCAACTCACTACTTTGCCATGATGTATGATGAATTTTAGTCATCCAAGTTCGTTTAGACTTCCAAAACCGCATTTTAAAGTTTGTAATAAGAATCGGACTTTTCGTTTTTCCATCCGATTAATGTTTTGTTTTTTTCCTAAGACCTCCTAAGAACTTCCCAAGGTTTGATTAAGTCTATTTAAGCCTTATGGCTACCAATGTAATTCATCAATCCTTTCGGATTTTCTCTCAAACTCTGGTGGACTCCAGAAAACTTTATTCTTAGGGGGCATACGTTTGCAACCCTCTACGCTCATGCTGCGTCATTTGCTACTTCATCTTCATCAAATTCAAAGGGGGCTCGTTTGGAAGTACTTTTAAAATAAATAAAAGTGCTTTTGGTAAAATTGATTTTGAGTACCAAAAACATTTTAAGTGTTTTTTGGAAGAAGTACCAGATATGTGTTTCTTATAAGAAAAGCACTTAAAGTGTTTTTTTTAAGAATCCACTTGAATTTTTGCTAAGGATTTGTTTAAAAAACATTTTAACTAAAAGCGTTTTCAATCATTTTAAAAGTACATCTAAACGATTTTTATTTTTGTGGTACAGACTTATATTATACAAAATGCGCAAAATAGCAATGCACAATTTGATGAAAAAAATTATGAAACTAATGGCCGGAGGATTTTTTTTTTTTTTTTTTTTTAATTTTTGGAGAACCTTGGTGGTACAAGAGAAATTTATTGATATGAAAAAAAAAAAAGGTTACACCTAGTCAGGAGGGGACATAAACTTTACTCCTCGTAAAGCAAGAAAAGAAGGGAGGGGCATACACATTACCCCTCTTGAAAAAGAAAATACAAGAAAAAGAGGGGTGGACATAGGACCAAACCTCTCTAAAATAAAACCTAAAATGTAAAAACCTAGAAGATAAACTGCAAAACAAAAAAGGAAAATAAAAAAAATAAAAAAAGTTTTACCAAATCAAATCAAAAGGTTATGGATAATCTTAAACAAATTAAAAGGTTTACATGACGAAATAAAACAAAGTCTACAATTCAAGAGACATTGATAATGCTAAGATTTTTCCCTGTTACCAACCCTAGGGAATTATTAATTTGTTGTTCAAATTTGTGATGAGGAGATTCTGACTTGTCAACTAAAATTAAATTCAGACCAACTTTCCAGTCTGGTAATCATGAAAATTGCCTATTAGTCTTTTTCAATTTGTTGAAAGAAAAAAAAATCTACTAATAAACCAAATATACAATCGATACTTTAATCAATAAGACGACTTGACATTGGTAGCTGTAGCCAACTATATTCCATGTACAATATCAAGGTTGAACTTAAAACAAAATTGACAACCCATAATGAAAATTTGACATAGTTTTGTATCAACCATAATCAATGGTGAGAAAACAAGACTTAATGTATTAACATGTCTGCTTAAGGATGAAAATTTACATCAGTAGATTTTTCGATCTATGATCCATCGGAGTGAGGGGTTAGGCAGGTCGACTGTTTTAAAAATCCCCGCCTAGCGCCGCCTAGGCCTCACCTAGGCGCTAGGCGGTTGGCTACCGCCCCGATTAATACCTAGGCGTTTGAAAATTTAGAAAGAGCGCCTAGACCTGCTGATGTGCCCGCCTAGCCCACCCAGACACACTTAGACACCTGCCCAGGTTGCGACTCACTTAGACAGAAAATAGATAACTCTCATTTTGCATTATTTTCTTTTTAATAAATTGTAATAAACTTGTTGAATACTAAAATGAACACAAATTATATGCTTGTTACCCATGTTTTCATTATGTTTCAATACTTCATAATATGTGTCATTCTATTATGTAATTTATGATGTAATTTTATATATTTTAAGTATAAACAAACACTTATTTACACGAAATATAATATATTTACTTAAATCCGCCTAAGCCTTGCCTAGCCGCCTAGGCACTAGGCCTAACGTCTTTTAGAACCTAATGGGCCCTCTTTCAACTATGGATCCTATTTCAAGTGGGACTGTTAGAGAAATTTTGAATTCTATGAGATTGTGTATTGTTAATTTGAACTATTGTCATTTTGTCATCTCAGGTTAAGGGAGTTCTTTTCTTTTTAAGATAGATAGCAAGTCTTTTCTATTGCATTCATTTTGTTAGTGCTTCAAGTTGGTGGAGTCTCTTTGATCCACTTGACCTGCAAGAGTCTTAAATCAAAGCATTGCCGCAAGAAAATCTTGTTTCCTTAAATTGACTAACTTAGTCATGATTTCTCCACCATCCCACTAACTGGTTAATGAAGAAAATTGAAGCTCAAAAATTTGAGGCACGGCTTCATTTCCATTTCTAGTACCATGTAGAATGAAGCTGAAATTTTGATATGAAAATGCACTCAAGGAGACAACGGACTCAAAATCTTAGTGTTTGTCTGATAACTATATTATTTTAGCATTGACGCTTTTTTCATAAAAAAAGAAAGTTCAAATCAACAACTTGCACAATTTTGTGTGTTGGGTAGAAAATTTACAAATGCTTAACACTGGATGGAATGATCTACATACTAATTTGTATCAAAAAGTCATAAGTTGCTAAAGGGTTGTCTAAAAAATAAGACCCTCAACCTCTCTCTCTCCCCCTCTCTAACAAATAAGTCATAAGCTCCTACTTTGCTACATTTCGTCCGTGTTCCATATGCTACATAACAAATCACTGTCAAACCAGTTGGTTTCTGCCACGTAGCAATCGCTGGCACAATTTCCTGGAAAATTTGGTGCTGAGTCCGCTGACACAGTTTCCTGCAGATTGAAGGATTCCGTGTCATAGCCATTGTTGTCACCGCAATGGAAAGGAGGGCATTCCGGAAACTGCACAGTCTTCGACATGTCCATTGGCTCTGAAGGAAAAATGTATGGACCTGTGCAGTACTCTGCCTTTGTGTTCTGCTTTTCGACATCTAAATTGTACATTGTTGCACTCATATTAATTTCTTCCTGCACTAGAATTTGTGGTGGCGGCGATATTGTGGCTGTAAAATGTGGGAAGGTGTTCTGTTCGAGAGGCTGCGAAATGGTATGGTTTTGGTTTAACACAGCTGAAGAAGTCGATATTTCTCCTCCTATCTTCTGCTGCAACCTTGGCATCCAATAGCACCTTATCATGTTTTGAAACTCTACGCTGCTCGTGTCGATTCGGAGATGCCGGGCTTGTTTCTGCACCCGTGTTCTCCAGTAGTTCTTGATTTCATTGTCTGTTCTTCCCGGTAAATATTGCGCGATTTTCGACCACCTACGATCACAAAATGAATGAACTTGCAACCATAAGTATTTTACTACGGTTTGAGACCAATAAGCACCATACTATACTATGCCAAGTTTCAATAAACTCCGCACGAATTTACATCCTCGTAGTTTAGATTAGATTAGAATATCGCTCAAATTAAAAGTTGTAAGGAAATTGGGTTGTTAAGTGAGGTAGCTAGCACACCTGTTTCCCATTTTTGAGTGGAGGTCAAGAATCAAGAGCTGTTCTTCCGGACTAAGATTTCCTCGCTTAACGTCGGGTTTCAGATAATTCAACCATCTCAATCTGCAACTTTTGCCAGTTCTCCTTAATCCTGTATAATTAACCAACGAATTAAGAAAATATAATCAACCAAAGAAGAAGGACTCTAACTACGGTCATCAGCATGCAATCGTGTTACATATGGTTACCTGAACGTTTGGCTAGCAAGTTCCATCGGCCTTCGCCGTGACGAGCTATGTACTGAATAAGAAGAGAGTCTTCTTCAAGAGTCCATGGCCCTCTCCTAAGCTCGCCATCGTCTTCTCCAGAACTACTACTTAGGGTTTTAGTCTTAGTCGACATACCAGCTCTCAATCATAAAAAGAAGGGCAAGCTTTTGATGAGTTTAAACAAAGCCAGACTATAAATTTATATGCAAAATATAAACAAACACACAGATATATATGTGCGTGTGCGTGCGTGCGTGTGCGTGCGCGTGTGCGTGTAGTATACCCAAACCCTGTTTCTCCTGGTTGGGTGGGGGGCAAAGCCAGAAACTTTTCAAAGAAGACTTGTAGGGTTGCAAGTAAGTTCAAGATGCATGCATGTAGCTTCCACTGAGCTTCTATTAGTTCATCTCTAATCAAAAGAGTTAAACATAGTTCTGTCTAGGATTATAGTCTTGTAAAAAATTATTTTTAAAGAAACAATGTCAGGCCATATTCATATGTCATCTCTAACCGAATGAGTTAAACATCTCTACAATTTATTAGTTTTAACTTTATATTTTAAATGTATTGATTAATTTAATTAAACTGCCGTTTGATGCTTTGAAGTGGGTAGTCGTTGAATTTAAATCAATTATTGCAATTGAGAAACTAAACCTGAGAAAAGGGCTAAGAGGATGGTTACATTTGGTTAGTCTGATCAATCTTTGGCCCAATAATAATTTGATGGGCTCTATAAAATTATAGTTTAGTCATCGGTTGGATATGATTTTTTGACAAATGAGGTCATTTTTCAACTTTTGGACGTTGGCCTTGGTCTATGGTTTATATAGGAAAATTAAAAAAAAAAAGAATATTTCAAGCAACTGTGTATATAGTTTCTAAAGGGGGGTTTAACTTGTTTCCTGGTCTCTTTACCAATTTAAAGTAAAATGACATTAACCCTTGGAAGCAAACACTAAACTTAAAGTCTTGGTCAATCTAAACTACATGGTCAATGTGTTAATCATTTCAAAACCGTTAATTGATACTTAACTATAACTTCACTAAATCAGATTAATAATATGATAATTAAAATAGTGTCTTCAATTCATTTTGAATTATTTGAGTTTTTAAACTAAATTTACCCTCTAAAAAAGTAATTCTGCAATATCTTTGAGATAAATAAACTGGTAGTGATTTCCATACATTTATTTTGTTTACCAATATGCTATTTGTTTATTTATAAATAATATGATTGAACAAATCAAATAATTACCAAAAAAAGACAAAATACAAAAGCGTGAGAAAATTATTCTTCATGAGAAAATTAGACTTAGTTGTGAAGTAGGAATTTTCATCCTGATCGATCGTCTGATTGATCGATTTAGACATATTAACTTTCGTATAAGACCAAAAATTTGTGCATATTAAAGGCAAATAAAACAGAATGTTGCTATCTTATCTTACAGTCGCCAATTGATTAGTATATATAGCTGTTTAGGCATCGTAAAAGATAAACCAACACGTTTCTTGGGGTGGTAATTAAGATAAATATAACACCACTACGTCAATAACAATATGTAAATTAAATTCAATGAATTACAAAACAAAAAACAAGAACATGAGGTAGCAAAATAATAAGAAAATATTAATTTTTACGTACGCAATGCACGTATCGGATTTATAGTAAGTACTAACACATGTTTAATTAGTGAGCCTAAAATTTGTTTTGACTTATTTTTGGAAGAGAAGTTTGTTTTGATTTAAATTATTGTTTTTTATCATTGATATAATGCCACTTAGTAGTTAGGACTACAGTCAAGTGTTATTTTTCTTTATTTATAAATGAGAGATCTTAGATTCAATTCTTTCCAAAAGCAAATTTAAACCACATTATTATGACTAGCCCAGTGTGAAGCTCAGTCTAGTCTCTCACCCTCGTAGATAATATCGTTTGTTTTAAAAAAAATTGATATATTGTCCTACTTTGTTTTCGGAAAACTATCTTACAAATGAACTCTTTTATAAATTTCAGACCAACCCAAAATCTCAGAGATATCCTTATGTGGAAGCATCGTAAAAGATAAACCAACACGTTTCTTTGGATAACAATTAAGATAAATATAACACCACTACTTCCTTAACAATATGTAAATTAAATTCAATGAATTTCAAAACAAAAACAAGAACGTGAGGTATTGCTCTCTCCATGCAATGCTGTCAGCAAAAATAATAGAGAATTATTAATTTGTACGTACGCAATGCATGTATCGTATTTATTTAAGTATTAAATCAATTAAACACATATTTTATCTTTGAATTAAGAAAAATGCTAAGAAAAATCTTCAAACCGCTGTACTATGGTCTACAAAATATGATTTGATAGAGACTCATAAATTAAGCCGTCCACGTTTTCATGCACTGACATGTGAGGGATACCGCCAAGTCTTGATGATGATTTAGCTACTGTTGCAACATGTAGTTTTCTGCCAGAACATTTAGATAAAGATAAGATGAAATTATTACCCAAAAAAAAAAGATGAAATTGATTTACCTTAATTTCGTTCCTTTCATTCTCAAGCCGAATTGAGATTTGATGGGTCTATGACCGTGTGTCATGGGTTTCGCATGCGTTCACTATAAGCAAGCCATGAATCGAAATTATTTTAATTTGGAGCTCGTTTAGAAGTACTTTTAAAATGATCAAAATATTTTTTATTAAACTATATTTAGAACAAATCTTTAATAAAAACTTAAGTGAATCATGAAAAAACACTTTAAGTGCATTCTGGAAGAAGAGAAAACACTTCAACTGCTTTTGGAATGCAAAAATATTTTCTCTAAAAAACGTTTTCATTTATTTTAAAAGTACTCAAAACGAGCCCTTAATGATTTCTGACTAGAGCAGACTTTGGGGATAGCAAAAGATGCAATCGCACGTGACTCCAATTTGAAGGGGCCCTAAAAACTTTTGTCATCTAATATCTATATGTAATAATTAAAAAAAAAATTATTAGTAATTTAAAATCTCATTATGCTATTGATCTTGTCTAGTCAATAGCATGCAACATCAAACACACAAAAGTTGGAAATATTTTTAGATAAGGCATATACGAATGTGTGACATCGAAACAAGGATGCGTTACTTTGACAAATTAGTAACAAGCGAGACACCTCATTCGGCAACTCTCTTCGCCTGAAGACTTGGGGGATTCCCACCATATGCTACTGCACCTTGATACTCGGCAGTCTCACAACCACTCAGTGACTTGGATTTTTCAAGTCTCCAACCGAGAAGTTTTCCTCACTCGGGAAATTAAGGGAACACTACCTCAAACTATACGCTTCACTCACAAAGCTTCAACAATACAGGTTTCAACAAAAGAAAAAATTCAAAGAACTTTCTGAAGAAGGCTTTGGTGTATTTAACACAATATGTTGAAATGAAGCAAAGCTTATTTATTAATATTTTCGATAAGTTACAAATATGTACATATACATGAATAAAAATAAACAAACAAGAGGGAGCCTTCACAAAGGTTGCTTAGGGGAAGTCTCAGCAGTCAGCAAATTAGTAACAAGGATGCGTTACTTTGACAAATTAGTAACAAGCGAGACACCTCATTCGGCAACTCTCTTCGCCTGAAGACTTGGGGGACTCCCACCATATGCTACTGCACCTTGATACTCGGCAGTCTCACAACCACTCAGTGACTTGGATTTTTCAAGTCTCCAACCGAGAAGTTTTCCTCACTCGGGAAATTAAGGGAACACTACCTCAAACTACACGCTTCACTCACAAAGCTTCAACAATACAGGTTTCAACAAAAGAAAAAATTCAAAGAACTTTCGGAAGAAGGTTTTGGTGTATTTAACACAATATGTTGAAATGAAGCAAAGCTTATTTATTAATATTTTCGATAAGTTACAAATATGTACATATACATGAATAAAAATAAACAAACAAGAGGGAGCCTTCACAAAGGTTGCTTAGGGGAAGTCTCAGCAGTCGGTAGAACCCCAGAAAGAGAAAGCACCGGAGGGTGGTTATCCGGAGCCTCAGTACTGAAAAGAACCCCAGAAGAATGAGGCATTGGAGGTTGATCATTTGGAGCTTCATTATGCGGTACAGCCCCAGAAGACGAAGGCAATAAATGCCTTTGGAACAAACCCACAAACCGCTGATGATCAAGTAAAACCTGACCATCAGATTCCTTCATCTGGTCAAGCTTCCTCTTCATGTTTGTAGCATAGTCATGTGCGAGCCGGTGCAACTGTTTATTCTCATGCTTGAGCCCTCTAATCTCCTGTTTGAGACTCATCACTTCAGCAGCCAATGATTCAACTTGGCGGGTTCTAGCAAATAGGCGTTGGGCCATGTTAGACACAGAACCTGCACACTGAACACTAAGAGCCAGAGAGTCCTTAACAGCCAACTCATCAGACCGTTTGGAAAGTAGTCTGTTATCTTTGGGAGTGAGAAGGTTCCTGGCCACCACTGCAGCGGTCATATCATTCTTCATCACAGAATCCCCAACGGTAAGAGGACCAGTAGGGGATATGAAGGATGGGCGCCATATGTTGTCTGGAGAAGATGTGGCTGTCTCTTCTCCAAGGTTCAAGTCAAAACGACGGTCGGAGGGTCCAGACATTTTCAAATGTGTTGAAGAGGGAAGAGGTCAGACAAATCAAGATCTTAGAAGTGCAAGAAGGGAGCTTCTACTGGTAGAGATTCAAGTGTGCTGTGGAACTTAATGCCAGCCTCTATAAAAATCTGCACTCGACGGAGCTTCAGAAATCGAAGAGGCGTTTGCTTTCTCAAAAGCTGGGCTGCTCAGAGACCACGAGGGCCGATCTCAGAAATCGAAGAAGCACCTGCTTTTTCAGCCTCGTCAGCACCTGTCACATGCACACTCAGCTTTGCGGAAATTACGGGCAATCTGTCGAAGATTTCTGGTGAAGTAGAAAGCACGTGAATCTTACTGTTCAATCACCGCTCTCCACATGCACCATCAACTCATCGGGTACCACATATAACTTTGTCAAAGATCTCTGACAAAGTTTAGGCACGAGAATTTCGAAGTTCCAGCTACCCTACTATTACCCACAAGGGTAAAGGAACAGCATCATTGCTTGACAACTGGAAAGTCCCTATGTGTGTCGACCTCCGTGTTTTGCGGCAAGACAGGTTGGCAAGAACGTCCAACCTTTACTCACATTCGAGAAA